AGAACGAGATCCTGGATACAAGCGGTTGAAATGAGTTTTCTTCATAGTGTGTCTGGGCTCTCCCTTAGAGATGGGGTGAGGAGCTCAACCATCCGGGGAGGACTCAGAGTAGAGCCGCTGCTCCTCCACATCGAGAGGAGCCAGTTGAGGTGGCTTGGGCATCTGATTAGGATGCCTCCTGGACATCTCCCTGGTAAGGTATTCCAGGCACGTCCCACCGGGGGGAGGCCCAGGGGGAGACCCAGGACACGCTGGAGGGACTATGTTTCCCGGCTGGCCTGGGAGCACCTTGGGATTCCCCCGGAGGAGCTGGCCCAAGTGGCTGGGGAAAGGGGAAGCCTGGGCCTCCCTACTGAAGCTGCTGCCCCCGCGACCTGATCCCGGATAAGCGGAAGAAGATGGATGGATGGATGGTATTACAAATTCAGAATGCATTAATGGTTTAATAAATCTAGCTTGTTTGGGTTTTTTGGGGCTGGCTAGCACTCTCTGCTCCAAAATTGAGTGAAAAGATTCACCTGCTCTCTCCTATTTACCTTCATTCCTTATAATTGTTCTTTTGCTCTCTCTGTCAGTGTTGACCAGAAGGTCTCCTCCTTGCTTGTATGACAATCAGTTCAGTGTCAGAGTAAGTTCCCCAAACCCGGAACAATATTCCAGTGAAATAATTATTGTGGTTTCCTTCATTGGTCTTTAATTGTTCCCTTCATTCAATCCCCCATGAAATATTATACATACTGGGCCTACACACAGGAAAAGCCTTATAATGGGCTGATGGGTATTTACCTGAATTTAAACAGTTCGGAAGTATGTTCAAAGAATTCATAGAGGAATTTTAAATGGTTTGTGATACCTAAGCACACCAAACAGGAGTATCTTGTAATGTATGGGCACATAAACAAGGAAATATGCCTGAATCAGGTTTCTCCACAAAGTATTGAACCTTATTAGCAGCTTCAGGCTGGGACACTTCTACATTAAGGCCACCTTTTTCAGATTGGGCTGACTCTTTAAAAGATACAATACCTCCTCTTGAAACTGAAGACTCAAAACGAGCTAACCTCCTTAGCCATTCATATGGAGTGATTTTTCTGCCAAAACGTTGTTTACAAAAATGCATATTGCGAACACAAATAAAGCATATTGCAAATGCATAAAGCATGTTTCACACAAACTCTCCTTAAATGTTGCACACACACAAAAATTTGTTTTACAAACCGGACTCTAACATTGCATTTAAAATATAATTTGTAAATTGTCCCCGATTACAAAACGATCGCTGCTCGCATATGAAACAACGTCTCCTCGCGTACGAGACAATTCTTCACGCTCTGCAGTAAGTTTCTGTCAAAAGTCACGTGATACATGGAGAATTGTCATTCTGACTAACCAACAGCAGGAGGCGCCATACAATTTAAACAAGTGAAACGTGCCGGTGTTACATCGAGCTGCGTTTTCCCCATCAGATACGGTTTCCCCTGCATCTCCGCACAGTGCAGGTGGCACAATTCACCTAAACCCCTAGATCTGATTATTTCTGGTAATCATAGAGAAAGAATAATTTTCTATGTCTTTTTAATCAGGCAGTCATTGCTGGTTGTAGGCTTCAACAAGTTACTTCACAATCCCAAATAAACTGGTCAGACTTAGGAATTTAATTATGGCCTAACAAAATGGCTGCTACTAACCACAACTCCACAAAATACAGCTAGTTTTGACCCCTTAAAAAGCTTTGGAGTGCCTTGGGCAGACAGGCACAGAGTAGTGGATTCATGGAGCAGGAGAAAGAGGAAGAGGAGGCAGTGTGCAAGGCGATGTAAAAAGGGCTGCAGAGGTGGGCTAACAGCGAAGCTAAGAAGAAATCTTCATGGACCACCACTCCCTTTAATTCTGCTCTCCAATTTCTGCTCATTGGGCAGCAAAATGGATCATCTTCAACTTGAACTCTCTTCAGAGAAGGAGATTAGTACCTTCTGCGCCATAATCCTGACCGTGTCATGGCTTATTTCATCCATAGTGGACAATCCCGTTATCCTGGAGGGGCTCACATAATACCGTGCCGATAAATACATCGAATTCAGCAGTAAGACTAGAGGCAGGGAGAGTTGTGTGTTTATATCAACAACAACTGGTGTAAAAAAATGCTAGAGCGGTCTCCAGCTTTTGCTCCCCAGATATTGAGTTTTTGACTGTCAACTGCACACCTTTCTATCTGCCCAGAGAGTTCACTGTGGGTAGCATCACTGCTGTATACAGTATGTGCCCCCCAGCGCTAATAAAAAAAGAGACCATGACTGCTCTCTACCATCTCTGAGCTCCAATCTGCACACACAGAGGGTGTTTTCATCAATGCTGGGGATTTTATCCAGGCTAATTTGAAGACTGTTCTCCCTCATTTTTACCAACATGTGGACTTTGCAACTCAAGGACAGAATACTCTAGACCTGGCTAATTCTAACATATAAGATGCATTCAGAGCAGCCCCCCGCCCCCACCTCGGCTCGCCACTTACCTATCTGTCCTTCTAATTCCTGCATATATGCTGCAGCTTATCAGGGCTAAACCAACAGCGAAGCAAGTCAGGTTGTGGACTAAGATGGCTGACTCCCACTAACCCGGGTGGAATAAGTTTTCACAGTGGGTAGAGGTGAACTATCATGAGGAGAATACATGACCAGCACACTGCGGAGAAAGCTGCGATAAAAGAGGAGTTGGTAGAGGCGACGTGGGTAGCACTGACCACTGGACATCTGTCAATAACCATAACCAGCTGGGAACTTCACTCCTTCGCTGTAATTTTAAACTTTATTTCACCATGACACCACCAACGATTACCACAACATTATGTTTGCATCTTGATGATTACTTGGATGAATGTGGGTAAAGTGGGACACTTTTATAAAATATAGGTTTTGTGGTATTTATTTAGCCTATTTAATTTCTACAGCTAGAGTTTCATATGATGCATTTTTACAAACTTCGGGATCTTCACATTACAAGAGACATTATAAACACCTGGCTTGAGAAACGTGTTCAAATATGTACTTTTACATAAATACATAAATTTAAATTTCAAATGTAGAATTCAAATTAGCCATTTTAATCTAAATGAATCTAGATTAATTACGTTGACATTCATCTAGATAAAAAGATAAAAAAAAAATCTATTCCAACCACTAGTAACCACAGATTGCAGACCCACATTGAAAATGTGTTTACATTTCATGTTACCATTACGAATTTATTTATATGATAATATATATACTGATATTTGAACATTATCCAACCCTAAGTGCAATGCTATTATCGAAGCAATTTGCAAAACTTATGGAGTGTTGATTCGTATCTCCTCTTCATGGTTTATGCGTGTTTAGGGCAACTTTGTCCATAATGACTAAGATCCCAAAAAATTAGCACCAAATGTCTATGCAAATAAAAAAAAATATATACGTGCATTCAGTTGGTCTTTGTATTTGACATACTGAAAATGTTGGCAAATCAAATAACATGTGCCACAGTGTTGCAGACTGCTCTGTTTGAATGGATACATTAATTCTGTTATTTCACAACCCTTACCTTGTCCTTAACAAGTGCAAGAAGAGCATATGCAGTGGTCTCCAGTGAATAAATATCTCCCTTTGAAACAGGCCAATGGGATCCATCTGTCAAAGACATCCAAACATGAATACTACACTTGAATGCATTGCAAATTAAAAAAGCTTTAAACTTCCATTATTTAGTTATGCCTGTTATTTTACATCTACAGGTTTTGCAATTAAATATTTTGTTTGAAAACCTTGGGCAGCAAAGTTGTAGAGAATCTGTCGATTCAGCTTGTTGTTGGTTGCCAGGGCATATGATGTCAGTGCGACAGCATAAGGATTGGTGAGTTTATCCAAACGCCGCTCTAGGTAAGCTTCAGCTTTGCTCATGCTGCCTGGAAGGCTCTTTAAAAAAAGCAAAGACAGATGATATAAAATCATTATTTAGATAAGCCATAACAAGGTGTTTAAAAAGCTGAGCAAAGTTGTACCGATTTTCCCCTTATTTTCAAAATAGAATTTGTATTTAAAGCTTAACATCTGTAGACTCTACCATATACATTGGATCTCAAAACTTAAGCAATGCTGTTGTAATTTTTTTATTAAAAATTAAAAAAAAAAATCGACCAACAATGTTAAATTCCTGTGAACTGTCAGGCATTTTAATCCTAATCCTTTAATCCTCTTATTTGAATCAACAATACATTTGGCTTAAAATTCCATTATATACAGTGCTCCAGACATCTGGAGAACAAATATTTTGTTAATATATAGTGCATAGCAAGCAGTTGCATCCTATAGCTCCGTGAAGTTTGTCGTTTGTGCCTTGGATGCATTACTGACCATTTTCCAACTTTTGCTCTTTTTTTTACTTGTGGGAAAATGTCTAATGTTTGTCATGTCATCGTGTTCACACTTTTTTTCTAACTCTAGAGGATTGTCTTTGTGTTCGGGACCTTGATCTTTATGTGAACGAGAGATGTTTGAAAATAGGGAAAACTGAATTGGAAAGCTATATTTTATTTTTAGTTACCGTAATTAGATTCATTGAAAAGGGAGGTGCAACACCATTCTTACCCCTGAGTGTCCTGACCGGACTTGAAACCAACAATTAATAGGTTAAGGAGGCTAAAGATTAAGGTGATGGCAAGGAGACCTCTCAACCCCAACTATTTGGATCTCATCACGTGAGATAATTGGTCCAAATATCAGAGAAAGAGAAGGGTTTTATTAGGCTAATGCCCAACAGACACTCAAAACTGATCTTTATAAATGCTATCCATTTTATTATTTGTCAGCTTTCTGTATTTTTAATATCAGAAACTAACTTAACATAATGGAATTTATTCTATATCTATAAATCAGTGGTATGAATAATTGTGAAATAAAAAAATCACGCCTGATTTTTTTATGGTCTTGCTTTTGTTTTGCTCCAAAAAAAAAATGCTGCATTGAAAATGTAATGTAATGTTTGCACTTCAAGAGTCACTTTAGCATCAATTTCAAGTTATTATTTCATCAACAAAAACAGAAAAGACCTAGAAAGAGTCTGTTATATAGCTATAACAACACTGACAATTTAACTTGCAGTAAAATTTATTGCTTAGCATCAAAAGTTTTTATGAACGTTATGCATGAATAGGCTACTTACATCAATAATGGAAGAACACGCTCCACTTGCCTCTCTCATGGCAATCAGGCAGAAAGCAGTCATAGAGGCATCTGAATCTACACCGCCAACATCCCCCTAAAAGGGTATATTGGATACAAGGCTGATAATATCTATTTATGAGCCAGTATTATTAGAAAGCTTTTACTTACTATCATGTTTTTATCATATACGTCACCAATTTCCACAAACATCCCATCAGGTTGCTGTGTTTTAAGAATTAGAAACCTGATAGCGCCACATAACACATTGGAATCAATGTGGATAAAATTGTTTGCCATGGAAAACACCTTTGCAACATAAGCCGTCAGCCTATGGAGTAGACGAGTGAGAGGAAGAGAGAGGAGAAAGGCTCATTAACATAATAACTTATTTCATGGACATTTATTAGATTTCTTTATAAACATAGGATTTATAACTGTTCATCTAACCAGGTGGTGCTTGGGTATGATTTAAAAATTGCAAAGGATCCATCATCTTTGCGGAATTTAAGCTGCCCTTCATAGCCTGCAAAAGAGTCAGCGATATTTAATTACCATTAAACTCTCATTAATGAGATGTTTGAGGAAAAAATACTATGAGCATTTATTAAACATTGTTAGATATGTTACTGATAGCATTTTTCAGTATCTCTGCCTAAAAGGGGGGGTCTATAAAGCTTACCACTTTTAATATGCTGTATAGCTTTGTTGCGCTTTTCAAAGCCAACAGCTTCCCATTGGTTGGTTTTGTCCAAATAGATAGCAGCGATGACAGGCAGAGTCATGGCAGCCATGTTCTGCTCTCCACAACCTGTGGGCTCTTTGATTAGAGTACCCATAGACTCCCCACTAATGGCATTATCCAGTAATGTACTCATCTGCCCGATACCTGTGTTTACAAAGAAAACTTTTATTTACAAGGATTGTTATTGGATTAATAACAGAGGAATCTCTAGTAAAATGTACAGCATGCTTTTGCTCTTCTTCTGCCAACATTTGTTTGGACAAGGTTAAATTTCATTGCTCAGGATCTTCCATTGTAATAAAACATGAGACATATTAAGTTATTGAACATGTCTTTATCAAACTGCTATATAGTCAGCTTTACAGTCTATTAAATCATTAACTTGTCAGCTCAGTGACTGGTGGTGCATCTTACTAATAACCTAGTCTCTATAAATATTGTCACCTTAAACTTTCTAATCATGGTAAATATTGGTTTGAATGAAGGTATTACATTGTTTTGAGAGTTAAATATTTACATTTCATTGCCACAAATAATTTGACTACAGCCCTCTTCCTATATAACATGTCAGGATTCAAAAGAAACAGGGATTTGGGCTGTATGTGTTTATTTGTGTTAGGATAGTTATCATTGATGTTGTGTAAGTTTATTACACCCTAATATTACCTGCCTGTTGCGTGTCAGAACTGATGTTTTCCTCAGTAGTTTATCTAGTTAGGAAAGTTCCTCTGTTTAGATATACAGTTATAATCTTCATTCTGAACATGGCAAAGACTTGGGAATGGAATGAGAGCGGTGTCCCCTTAGCTAAGAACAAAGTATAATATGTTGGTATGGCTGGAGCCATGAATATCTCCTCATCTGCAAACAGGTATGATGTAATTATGTGATAATGCGGCATACTGGAGATGTATAAAATGCTTCTCTTACTGTTTATCAGGGCCACCTCACGAGAAGTGAGCCCAGTTAGTGAGCAGCTTCCTTCTGTAAAGCTGGGCATACACTGTGCGACTTTTTCAGCTGTTGCACTGAACAGGGGTTTAGTCGTACAGTGTGAGTTCACAGCTCACGATTTATGTACGGCCCAACGCTCTCATTCAATCTACCTGCTCACACTGAACGACTACAAGCCACGTCGGACTCAGCTCTGCTGTGATATGGAGCTGCTCTGAGTCGTCTGTCCGGAAGCCAAACAAATAGAAGGGAAATATGAGGCTCACTAGAGTGACTCGCGCTGCCCTGGCAATTTGTGCATTTTGTGCTAGTCCTAGAAAGAAAAGGTGAGGATGTATTTCCAAAAAAATAACGTGGCTACTACGGTCTGTCAATTTTACAGACAGAACTGCATTTCTCTCATTGCATCCCTGCCATGCTGCTGTGTTTACATCTGAGAGGAAGAAGAAAAAGAAGAATCCTCCTTGGGCAAATTGCCCAGGGCGCAAATCAAAAATGTTTGATTTTCTCCCGACCTCACGATTCCTGATTGGGAGGTGGTCGTGAAAGGCTGATCGCCCCTTGTAACCCCCTGTAAACTACATGACGCACGATCAGGCTGAAAGTCGCCCCGAAAATCGCACAGCGTATGCCGGACTTTACTCAAAGCAACTTCTCTGATCTGAGT